TATCTGCTGTAAAAGAAGTTGGAAGTCATTCGTTTTTGGTATTTCTGTTTCTTTATCTTTCTGCACTTTGGCTCTCCTTTTTCTTTATTCTTTCTTTACTTCTACTGGTTTTCTTGGTTGTTAGTTCTTGGTTTTTAACTTGCGGTTGCCATATTCATGGCCGAGAGCCTCTGATCAGGACAGGCCCAGCTGGCCCCCAGTCCCCTTCCCTTTGTAAAAGGAAAAGCCAACATGCCTTCATCTACTAAAATTAGTTTATTACAGCTCATTTTCTTAAACATTTCCTTTGCTCTGATACAAGGGATACTTACAAACAAAATATTACACATGACCTCACTTATTTTTCCACCAGCCTGGCGAGAGCTTCAAATGCATGGTCTATGCAGTTAATACAGGTCGTACAGGAGCTGTGATGTAGGTCTGGACCGGAGGAATCCTGGAATACTGACAAGCAGTGCTAGAATCGCTCGCGCTTCCCATGCCAGCAAGTGCCAGGGAGACGCCCCTGCCTCCTTGATGCTTAGCCATGACCAGCTTGCTAGGGAGAAAACATTAAGAAAAGCCAGAAACTCCAGAACAAACCCAGAGGTGGATCTCGTTGCCAAGCACTCACTCCTAGTAACAGATCCTCTACGAAACGCGCCCGACGTCCTACCGGGGAGGAGGAACCACAGACGGAACAACGGGTGAGGGCTTTGACCCAAGAACGGGCCCTGGTTAATACCATTTTGAACCTTTCCCTCCAACTTCTCTCCCCTCACCCTGAATCGGTTATGTTTAAAGTGATGGTTGCTCTTCTGGCCTGTGGAAAGAGAGGGTTCTGGTCCAGCCACCAGGATCCCTTGTCTGGGTCTTCTCTGTGCCCCTCAACCAATAACCAGCATCGTGCCAAGCCTCTCTGCTCCTCTGTTTCCATCTGCAACCCAGATGCCACCTTCTGCCTTCCCCCAGACCCACTTCTCAAGGCCTGCCTTCTGAATCCGGGTTCGTGCCTTTTCACCCTAACCCGCCCTTATCCAGGGACCTTGAACCAACGGTGCCACGCTTGAAGGCGCTAGCTCTGCCCGCCTCCAGGGGCACATACAGCTGTGGCCAGCCGGCAAAGGTTGCCATCGCACCGATTCTTTTCTTCTGAGCAGCAGTTGAGGGCCGGGGGCATCTGCAGTGTGGTCAAAAACGTCAAGATGGCAGCCCTGGTGGTGTGATCGACACGGTTGCCATTCTGACTTATTTGAACGCGCTGCTGCAGACACCCCTAACGGAAGCACATAGAGTAACTGGGGAAAAATGAAGCGTGGTAAACCACAACTTTCCCTGGGAGGCTGAAAGACCCCAATGACTTTGCAAAATCACCACGCTGAACTTTACAGCCCTTGTGCGAGATGGAAGTGGGGGGAGAAGGAAAGGACCAGAGCCGTGCTATAAGAATCAGGAAGAGGGAGGGGGGGTTAATTATACAAAAATTAATAAATAAGATTGTCCAGTTGGCAGGTAGAATAAGCCATTCTACCTTATAAAATCCCAAGTGGGATTTACATTGTTACGTTGAAGTTGTTAATAGTTCATTAGAAAGCAAGTTGTCTTTTCGTTTTCAAAATTATTTCCACAAGACAAGCAAGTTTCCAGGTTGCTTGGGTTTTCCCCCCTTACTTTTTAAACATCAAATGTACACTATTCACATCTCACCCAACTCATCTTGGGGACTTTCCTGTGCATCTGGAACAGCTGCTCTGCTTGATTACTAAAAGCAGCAGGCCCTGAGGAGGCACCTCCACCCCACAGTCCCTGATCCGCTTGTTGGATCCCTGAAACGTTTCCAGGAGGGAAATATGAAGGGCCTCCAGCAACCGAGTTTTCAAACGATTTCAACCAGTAAAACTGCTTTGTGTATGGGATTCTGCATGATTAGTTTGCAAACTCTGTTCCTCCAACACTCAACACAGAGTGCTCAGATGGAAATGGAGGGGGGGGGTCTTCTGGCGTGGGAAAGAGAAATGGTGGGAGGCACAGAGAAAGACGGGTCACATCTGGGTGCTGCTGCAGCTTCCCCCTGTGGCTGACCCAGCCTGAGCACCACCCTGCAGCTTTCAGACGACAGTGCTCTGCTACCCCTCCCCAACACCCACTGCAGAAGACCAGCTTTAGCCACAAGAAGGGCCCCTCACTCACACATCCTGCTTTAAATACCAAAGTGGGGAGGGGGAAGGGATTCATTTAATGGATTTACTTCAGGCCAGACAGATGCAACCCCCCCCCCCCCCCCCCC